TTCTGAAACTCATTACTGATTTCCAGAAGGTCCTGCTCGGAGCAGTATTGCAGTTTTAGTTGTTCCAGAAAGTCTTCCCAAGACATTTTGCTTGCTTCTCCCTTGGGCATAGAGTCAGCTAACAGCTTCCACCAACTCAACACGCCAGATTTTAGCAGAGGGATCGCAAGAGCGGTCTTCTGCCTGTTGCTGCATTCGCAACTTTCAAACATAGTCTCCATTTCAGAGACCCAGTCCATAACTTGTACCGGCGTCGGGCTTCCGGATAGGCATGGTGGTTTGGATGCCATGAAATCCTTATACTTGCACCCACGACCATCATTTCCTCCATACTGGTTATTGCGTCTAACCACTGGTTGTTCGTCTTGACCAATGATCCCACTAAAGTTTTCTCCTTCAGACTGCCCTCCATTCTCCTCGGGCTCTTCCGCTTGAATTGACGGTTCTTCACGATTCTGCCTAAGCAGGCGTCTTGTTTCTTCCATCTGACGATCCAACATCATTTGAATCATCATTTGTACACCAGCCATTGTTATCGGCTCAGGTGCAGCAGCTACGACAGGTACTTGCTCGATTACAGGCGGTTGATTCCTGTTTTCATTAGCATTTCCAACTCCGCTTCTTGTTCTCACCATTTTGATCTATACACCGAATAATTTCACCTTATTACTCCAAACGATTACATGCTAGTTCTAATATCGTATACATACGCTTAGAATCCTAAACACATAAACCTTCAGATCCGGTTGGCAACAAACCATAGATCCGAACAAATAATATCATATATGGCAACATATAACATTTAGCACATAAAAGCATTTTAGGCAACTTTCCTAAAATAAACTAGTGCTTGTGTCTAAAATCCAACAGACACACACCTCGCAATCTCCACTTAGCATCCTAAGTTTAAGTTTAGAAATCCTACAAATTCCTAATTCGCTTAAACTAATGCTCTGATACCAACTGTGACATCCCCAAAATCTCGGCCAGAAAAGACCGATTTCATTTATGCTTTTTAAAATAATTTTCAGAGTAAATCCTTTTAATTTTAAAAGAGATGCGGAATTTGTTCCCAAAAACAAAACATGATAAAATAGATATTTATCAAAACATTTCATAAAGAAATATGATTTCATTTCATAATCAAAAGTCGGGATGTCATGTTCCGATACAGATCATAAAGCATAAACGATAGCATTACAAGTCATTCAACAAATATATACATATACAGACTTGTAAACAAAACAACTTGATGTTCGCCCATCTTAAGCTCTTGCGCCACTTCCTGTAAAATAAATCAACTGAGTGGGTCAGGCTTGGGAGCCTGGTGAGCATATAGGGTTTTCAACCCACAATAATTATATTTAATTTCAACAATCAACAATAAACCCGATTACCCATTCCCGTTATCCTCACCTTACGTTCCTAAAAATAACGTCTATTATAAGGAACCTATTTCAGGATTTTTCATCGGGACGGACATTACTGCAGAGGGGCTTCCTCAACAATAAGTGTCCTAAAGGCAACCATGTGGGGGATAGAGTACACCGGTGAACACGTCGTTCACAACACCTACAGGTAATGAGCCTGCTAGTGTTCCACAGGACAGTCTAGAATAGTCCGTGGTCGTCATCCATACTCTGCTGAATGACTAGAATAACACCAATAACACCGAGGCCTCTCATCTGTTTATTACACACCAATTATCTACCCATGTTCTACCCAACATATTAGTAGATAAAAATATACATTTTTATACATAGTTTAAAAACCTGTATAACATGCTTTAAGCAATACATATTCCACATAACAGATGAGGCATACACACATAACACGTATTTCATAGAGAATACATCAGATCTATAAGATAGAAGAGAGTGAATATACACTCACACGTATAACAACCAAATATATACACATAACACGTATTTTATAGAAATACTTCATAATATTGCGTTGGAATGAAAATAACTACACACTCACTTGATCAGAAGATGATCGGGCAGCACTACGGCTTGCAGAAGAGGTGTTTCTCCGTAGATCTGGAAGATCTTCACAAAACCGGGCTCCTCGCGGGCAGCGTTTCGGCTCGGGAATAACGCTCTTCGGGATCCTCGGGGCTTCGGATCTTGCTTCGGGGCTCGGGAATATTACCGGGGCTTTGGGGTATAAACGGCACGCAAAACGAGGCAAAACTTAGAGAGAGGGAAGAGTTTGAACAAGAGAAAATGGCTGAATTCGAGTTCTATTTATAGGCTGCTGGGTCTGGGATTACGCGGGGCGTACTCAAATTACGCGGGGCGTACTTTGACGTCACTCACTGCGTGCGTCGACTGGTGGCACTCGAGTATTGGTCAGACAAGTTGCATCCGACTGAGTACGCGGGGCGTACTCAAATTACGCGGGGCGTAATTGACTTGTCAAACTTCTAAATTGCGTAACTTTCGCATACGAGCTCCGTTTTCGACGTTCTTTATATCCACGCGAAGGTCAGACCATACTCTACAACTTTCATTTAGACTCCGTCGGCTAATTTTGACTTTTATTTTTATTATTTATTTTTAGAAGGCCGGGACAGAAAAACTTCGTTATAAATTCATAACTTCTTCGTCTGACGTCCGTTCTCGCCTAACTTTTCATCGTTTCGCTACTAACAACAAGATCTTCGATTCTCATTTAGATTGTTTCGGCTAAAAACCGCTCGATCTCAAATCGAGTATTCGGGCTGTATACTGCTAAGTCGAAACTTCATAAAATCATAACTTCCTCATACGAAGTCAGATTTGGGCGTTCCTTTTATGCACGCTCTCGGTTTAACGAAATCTACGACTTTCGTTTAGATCGCTAAGGCTAAATATCGCTCTATCTTAAATTCATATTTTACGTCACTCGGCGTCGTGTCGGTTCTGTCGCGAAACTTCGACAGGTCATAACTTCTTCGTTATAACTCGGATTTTGGCATTCCTTATATCTCCGGAATCCTTGTTTCGACCACTACAACTTTATGCAAAGATGTCGGGCTTATCTCACACTTAAATTTTGACGCTTATTTTATTCTTAATTCATTAAATTATAAAATTAAGAAAATACACACATAAATCACATAATTCAAATAATTCACAAATAATACATTCTTATTATTTCAAGTTGAGTTACAAGGTTAACCTAGACTATTACATTGCTAAAAATGGCAAGCCTAGAAACACGGGCGTTACAATCAACATCATGTTTTCCACATAAGTTAATTGTACTCTGATTTAATTGAATAAATAAAAATGTAAAATTTTATGGTAAAAGTCAAGATGTTACAGTGATAGTCCTGGTGACTATAATACCATGGACTAATAAAATGGTGGTCTTGGTGACTGTAACACCGTGATATTAAGAATCGGTTATTAGTGATGGTCTTGGTGACCATACCATCACTATTATATAATAACTTATTTAAGGTGGTCTTGGTGACTATAAGACCACCGCAATGGGATTAGTTACTCTTAGTGGTCTTGGTGACTGTAACACCATTGTATTTAGATCAATTATTAGTGTTAGTAGTCGTAACTGTAACACCATGAGGTTCTGAGACTATAATATATTATAGTTATGAGGTATCCTTGGTGGCTGGAATACTACCCTTATGACATAATATATTAATTTTTAAAGATTGAAAAATGCCAACAAGTGAAATATTGATTGGATGCAAGCCCACTGTAAAACCAATTGGCAAATATAGTGATTCGAATAACATATGTATGGGCCAGATTGACACCGAACATTGGACGGTGATGTTCACTAAAGGATCTAATCCTACATTAAAGTTCTTGTTAGCTTTACTTGACAAACATCTGTTTACCACAGTTTGCATTGAACATATTTTGGACATTATCAATAGATATATGTTCAATGATGATGCTGCGAAGAAGAACTTCAATGACATGCTTCAGTGGTACATCAACTTTTGTCGCACTATTCTTGCTATCATAACGAAGCTATTTAAAACGGTAAAGAAGACAAGTCTTGCACTGCAGTAGTGATCTCTCACCTCAAAATACGCAAAGGGGGAGAATGTTGATAGAAGATTGCATCATTGGGCTTATTAGTTTAGTCATTTTTGTAAATGGTGTTGGGCCTGTCCAATCGTGTATCAATTATTAGGGTTTACTTTATATAGTGCATCCATGCACTGTAGTATACACACTAATAGAAGTTATTTTCTCTTTAATCGTATTATAACCCTTGCACAACCTCTACAGTAGCAGTTCCTCATAGAGCTCTGCTGAGGTTGTGGATTATTAATCATTCGACTTCAGTCTTGAATCGGCTTGTGTTCTAATTTAATTTACTTTCTTGGTTTGCTTGTTAAGAATCTATTCGATCTTTTAGTTCTTTAAGTTTCATCAAAAAGAGTTAGGACAACTTGCAGATATATCTTTAGACATAGTTAGACCTAATAGTGTGGTATCCAAAGATGAATTTATGGGTCCTGGTAAGACCTAACTAGTTCCAATTATGAATGAATTTATTGGGGGCCCTTATCAATATGAGACTAAAATGAAACCACTTGTTTACTTTCTAAGTCCCATAAAGACATAAGTGTTGCATATAGATGCATTTGGTGATCTTTTTCTACCGATAAAACTTATTGTTATATGTATGATGAATTAAGCATAACAAGAAGACCTTGGTGTGAATATTAACCTTCAAAAAGCTAAGTTTATCATAAAACATAAGGGTGATTATTTTGTAAGGAATTTTATATCGAAAAATACTAAAATATAACTTTTTTAGTTCTTTTTTAGATGTTAATTAACTAGATGAACACACACCAACTTATTTACATACTCTAATCACACAAACACCAAAATCCTTAACAATTATATAAAAGAGCTACCTAGCATCCTCGTATGACCTGATCACAAACATTAACCTATTGAAACGAGAATGAAATCACTGAACACATTATTAACCACTTAAACTTGAAGTTTCTTTCATTAGTATCTTTTCTAGTTGAAGTTAGGAATGGAACCTAGAGACCAATCCTGGCCTTGTTCCACTGGGATGATTGCATTATTGCTATATTGATTCAGATGATTAGGAGGTCCAATTGGTGGGAAGTCTAGCCAACTCCAGTTACACCAGTTATCATTGATCATCGTGTTTACACCCTCAAAATCATTGTTTTGTGATGTAACATCCGTATCTAGAACAAACTCTGCAATATTGAAAGAAAATATGATCACAAATCATAATTTAACTAACCATTACTAATTCATCAAAATAAGATATACTATTTCAAATCAGAAACATACCATTTGGTAAAATGCCAGAGTTGAAGTCATCCATAAATGTCATATCATTACCATTTGGTAAGATAACATGAGAGCACAAAACTTCACTCTGTAGGTTGTTTATTGATTTAAAAATTGTGCCACTTGAAGGACTGGGTGGTTTGGTATATGAATCATCCCAAAATTCTTCAAGTTCTTTAGGGGGTCCATTTGGTGGAATTTCTAGCCAACTGTAGCTATCATCGTTCCTCATGTTTAAATCCTTAAAAGTATCTACTTGCGATTTTAGTCCTATATCTAAAAGGTCAGGAAGAATATTAATTGATCGGCCATTAGATATTTATTAGGAATTATATATTTCTAAAAAAACAAACTTACCATTTAATGAAAAGCCAGAGCTTGAGGCATCCATAGATGTCATGTAACTACCACCTGATACAGATACTATATTACAATTCACATTATTAATGTTAGTTAAAGAGTAAGTTGGTGTAATTGCTGGAATGGATGAATGGATTGAAGGGATATTTAGTTCAAAATTTTTAGAGAAAAAATCATCATCCATTTGAGAGATAGGATTCATGCCTAATGAAGTGATTTGTCGGGTTTTATCAAATAGAGATATATAAGATGAGCTCGAAAGTGATAGGTTTTGAGGGGGTGGCATTGTAAAGGTGAGTCCATCATTCTTATAATTATTAAGTTTGGACTTAGACATAAAATCAAGGTGATATGAAGAAGCAAGTAGAAGTGGGTAGCTCATTGGGTCCATTAGAGACATAAAGTCAAAGTGACTATAATCAGGGTTTGCCTGAATTGAGGGTGATGATGATGAAGCGGCCATGTTTGTTTTATGCAAAAAAGATGTTGAAGTGGGGATGCAATTAAAACTAGGGTGTTCTATATACGAGGAAGATAATGACGACATGCTTGGGTTGAAATCAAGCTTTTCAAGGAATGATGATGATGATGATGATGAGGAGGAGGAGGATGAAGTATAAAGTTGGTTTTGGCTCTGTGGAGGTTTTTCTGGTTGCGGATGGTAAAAGTCTCGACGCTTGATCTGTTGATGAATTCCAGGAGGGTAAACAGGCATTCCATTACGAACTCGTCTTTTAAACCTGGTGTACCAGTAATTTTTTATCTCGTTGTCTGTACGTCCTGGAAGCTGTGCAATAAATAAAAACACACATTGATCATAGAAAAAACTTGATCAAAAGGCATTGAAAAGATTTAAATGCACAAATTACACAAATATTTCTTGCTCTCTATGGCCAACGCCCAAAAAAGGTTAAAATCTTGAATCTATATATTTGTATATTTATATTGATTTGAAACCTACATAACTATACATATTTCCTTGCTAGTTAGATCTATGATTATTAAGTATTGAAATTAATACGGTATAACTTGAAAGGTTTTAGAGTTTAATTTTCAATAACTTTTTTACTACTATAAAAGAACTCAATTTTTTTAAGTAACACAAACACAAATCACATAAAATAAATCAAAGAGAAAACGAATATAAAGAAGCACTAGACAGGTTCTTGAGTTGGTTCAAATTTTGTTTGACCACATTTTAAGGCAAAGTTACAATGTTAAAACTTTTTATTTATATGAATGTTATACATTAGCAGAGTAGTTTAACAGTTTAAACTATGTTTAATAGATTAAAAATTCGCCTACAAACATTATCAAGCATGAGTGTTTGAAGCTACTTTTACTTTCGTACCGGATGTATGAGTATAAATAATGGCTCCCTTATTATAATATTTAGTTATGTTTTATGTCTATTTTATAATTCAAGACAAAATGAATTTAATTGGTTGATGATTTTGATTTTATTTGACTATTTTGATATTATTAATGATAAATTATCATATTAACATCTCCATATAATACAAGTTTTGATATTTATCACTTTGTACGATTTTGTGACTGTAAAAGAAGATATTAATTATATATTGAGGTGTTTAAATTTTTAAAATAAATGTATGCATTTTTATTCACCTAAATAAAATATTTTAGTACTTATCATCAAATTCATGAAAAAATTACAAAAAAATCCTGTACACTTGATGTAACAATTTTAAAAATAAAATCATATGATTCATTGTAGATAAATATCTCTTATTGTGAATTATTATTTGATTAACTTTATATATATATATATATATATATATATATATATATATATATATATATATATATATATATATATATATATATATATAAAAGGTTAAATAAAAAACATAAATCCAACTATTAAGTAAACTTAAAAGTTATCGAAAGACTAATTATGTTTTAATATTTTTAAAGTTTTATGTTGATTTGAACTTCAACTTTCCTCATTAGTTGATATATGGTTATTAAATAACCAAATTAACATGTTATAATTTATGATGAGAAATATAATAGGTTTTAAATAATTTAATAATCAATTAAGTATTTTAGTAAAAATTTTTACAATTGAAAATTTAGTAAGTTTTTATTATTATAAACATATCAGTTGTTTAAGCAAACATACACATAAAGAGATAAATGATATAAAAAGTAATTGAGAAAATGGATATAAAAAATTATATGGAAAAAGTAAAGGTTTTTCGACATGTTCTGAGACAAATTAGAATATTAAAACTTTTTAGTTTGGATGTTTGTTATATATTATAAGAGTAACTTAATAGTTCCTGCAATGTTTCATTTTGAGCAATAATACAATGAAAATTAATCTTGAACGACTTATTAAATAAACACATTACACTTACTAGAAAACAATAAAAATTATAATGTTAGATAGAAATTTGAAGAACTATGAGAATTTAAAGTAAATACTACATCCGTCCCAGTTTAATTGTCAAAATTTGACGTTTTAAATTTTTAATCTTACATTATATATATATATATATATATATATATATATATATATATGGAAAAGTGAATATACCCTTAAGGGTATATAAACTTAGGTACCCAAACACACCATACTATATCGTTTCGTATTATATATAGCCATTGTAATTGTTCAATGTTCTTATAATTCAACTTCTAACTTGAATTACTTTAAAGATTTTTATAAATTTCATGTTTATCTTACTCTTACATAATTGTCATTTTCAACAATAATATATATAGCTTAGTAGGTGTTCGACAAAAAGATATGATGTAAGAGGAAGATAATAGTGAAAATTTAAAAATATTGAATATAAATCAAGTTAAGGATTGAAGTTTAACAATATTATACTAAATATATCAAACAAAACGACGTATTATTATGAGTTTGGGTACCTAAGCTTACATACCCTTAAAGGTATATTCACTTTTCTCATATATATATATATATATATATATATATATATATATATATATATATAATATATATTATATATATAGGTAATAATTGATAAAAAACATATGAATTGATTATAATTATATGTCATTTCATTGTTATAAGTTTCATCAAGTAATATATAACATAAATAAAAATATTTAAGATCACAAACGAAGAATTTTTTTGTTCAAAAATCAACAGTGGACAATTAATTTGGGACGGAGAGAGTATCATCGAACCAAAATGAAATATAGAAGCTAACAACAATGTTTAAATTAACTTTATATATTTAAAAGAATTATTATTTTATATTTAACTGAAATACTTTAATTATTTTTCATAACCAATATTTGTTGTAATTTTTAAACTATATAATTTTATTACCACGATATACACGAGTATTCGCCTAGTTATTTACATAATTTAAAGAATCTATAAATAGATACCTGGTGTTTTTTGTACCAAATTTATAAATCGGAATTCATCACACCGACGTATACATAAAATATTATATAAATCGAAAATAAATTTGTAACAAGTATACAAATCAAATAAACAAAATTACTTAAAATAGGTCGGAATATGAGAATTTTAGTGTCTATTGTTTGGCTATATAACATAAGAATCAAACTCCCAAACTTTTAAACCATTATAAACAATTTATTCACTCATGTATTTTTATTAAAGTTAAACAAGAGATCCAATAATAAGAAGTTATTTTAAAATTAATATCATTCTAAATATCTAAAAAGTGTTTCTTTCATGTCATAGTTGTGTTTTAATTTGTTTTTGGAATCACAAAACTTTATGTAAAATGAATTAATAAAGGTATGATATTATATATATATATATATATATATATATATATATATATATATATATATATATATATATATATATATATATATATATATATATATATATACACGAAGAGCAACATATGAAAAGAATCTTTAATTAATATGATATATATTATTCCACATTTAATATTTAAAAAAGTTTTTACAATATAACTGACTTAGGAAAGTTACATTTATGATAACCAAACACAATTTAAAAAGATAGTTGGCGCTTTTATACCAAATTTATTAATTGGAATTCATCACACAAACATATACATTAAATATTATATAAATCAAAAATCAAAAATCTATATGTAACAAGTATATATATATATATATATATATATATATATATATATATATATATATATATATATATATATATATATATATATATATATATATATATATTATTATTATTAAAATACATATGAATGTGAAAATTTTAATGTCTATTGTTTGACTATAGAAACATTTGAATCAAACTCCCAACTTTAAGTCACTATAAACAATTTAACCACTGTATTTTTATTTAAGTTAAACAAAATATTCAAGAAATTATTTTAAAATTAATATCATTCTAGATGTATAATTTTTTTTTTTCTTTCATGTGATATTTGTGTTTACATTTGTTTATGGTTTCATGAAACCTTATATATAAAATAAATAAATAAAGGAATAATATATATATATATATATATATATATATATATATATATATATATATATATATATATATAGCGAGAGAGAGAGAGTGTGAGAGAGAGAGAGAGATACATGAAGAGCAATAAATGACCATCTGTTGCCGTGTTCTGCATGGAGTCGTACGATCCTACTTTTTTCTTCCAGAGTAAAAGCTCCTTTCTTGATATTAGACCTCAAATGGTTAACCCATCGAAGCCTACAACTTTGCCCGCATCTCATCAATAGACCCTTCGTTGAAGATAGTTCCAATTTCTTTCACCATTTTTAATAACATACTTTGCTAGTATTGCATCCTCTGCAGGACTCCAATGTCCTTTTTCTAGTTCATTATACTCTTCTCCATGTCTACCACCCCCTTTCATGTTTCTTACACCATCATTAATGTTATCATTTTCTTCAAACATATTTTTCTTAACCTATTATCAAATGTTCTAAATTTAGATGTATATATCGAAATGCAAATGTTCTTTGAATATTTGTTAAATTTTTTTTAAGGATCTTTATTCTTCCTATTGGATAAATAAATGAAAATGTAACACAAACAAAAAGACCTCTATGAAAGAGAGAGAGAGAGAGAGAGAGAGAGAGAGAGATAGATAGATAGATAGATAGATAGATAGATAGATAGATAGATA